CCCCTGCATCGGCAGGCGGACTCTCAACCACTGCGCCACGAGGGAAGCCCTGCAGTCCTGTTTTAAAGAGAGAGAAAACAGGGCTTCCCTGGTGGCGCAGTGGTTGAGAGTCCTCCTGCCAACACAGGGGATGCAGGTTTGGGCCCTGGTTCGGGAGGATCCCACATGCAGCAGAGCAACTAGGCCCGAGCTTCACAGCTGCTGGGCCTGCGCTCTAGAGCCCGTGAGCCACAACTACTGAGCCCGCGCGCCTAGAGCCCGTGCCCCGCAACAAGAGAAGCTACCGCAATGAGAAGCCCATGCACCGCAACAAAGAGTAGCCCACGCTCGCCCGCCGCAACTAGAGAAAGCCCGTGCGCAGCAACGAAGACCCAACACAACCAATAAATAAATAAATTAATTAATTAATTTTTAAAAAAACCCAACAGAAACCCAAAAACCACTGGGGCTCTTTGGCATAGACTTCCATTCTTTTGCTCCACCTAATATAGTAACCACCAATTTTTAAATTTTAATTGAAATCGAAATAGCCACAGATAAGCAACATTTCCATCACTGCAGAAAGACTTATTGCACTGCTCTAAGTCCTACATAAGAATAATGAACAAGTTCACCTGACCTGTTTGCAGTCCTTGAGGTCTACATACATCAATAGCTCTCAGGGTCATATATACCAGACCAAGTTCTGCTCACTTCAAGGTCATAACAGACTTTGCCCTTTATTTTCCCCAAAGCTCCCTAAACTTAAAAAACAAACAAACGACGAAAGAAAGAAAAGCCCTGTTCTTAAGTGATGTAACATATGCCTCAGAGAGTTTCACTATATAAAGAGTGATCTCTCTCTCCTCTTGGGAACTGAAGGACCCAGGTGCCCCCAAATAAAAGACTATTAAAAACAATTACAGTTCATAAAACAACAAGAACACTATGACCAATAGAGAGCTTAGTTCAGAAGAACATCAACATTTTTCTTACTTTATAACCAAAACCGCAGCTGACAAACACGAAGACCCTCAAAAGGGATTCTTTGCCTAGAATACTTTTAAAAAACAAGTCATGATTATTCTGGATAATTATAAATTCCTGCTTTGAAGGAAGAAGACACACTGAAAAAAGTCAAAACCCTTAATTCAATAACAACTGAATGTCCAATCTCATTTCTTATTGCTGAGAGAATGACAGAAACCTCTTTTGTTGTTATTGTTGCTTTTGGCCGTGTGGCATGTGCGATCTTCAAACCAGGGATTGAACCTGCTCCCCTGGCAGTAGAAGCACGGAGTCTTCAACCACTGGACCACCAGGGAAGTCCCCCGAAACCTCTTTTGATTTCATTCTTAGGCCTCTATTGCTTACTCATTGGATCATTTTCCAGAGGAAGGTGGCAGAAAGATCCAATCAAACAAACTACTAGTTCCAAGCAGTGTTTTGAGTTTACTCCCAAGCCTATACAACTCTGAGTTAAGCCAAATGCATGCTTTGCACACCACTTTGGAAACCCAGCTGAACTCTAACTCAAGGTTTCTCAACAGCTGCACTACTGACATCTGGGCCAGATAACTCTTCATTGTGGGGGCAGTTCTGTGCATTGGAGTCTGTTTAGCAGGTTCGCTGGCCTCTACCCACAAGATGTCAGTAACAGCACTTCCCCTCCTCCCCAACCCAAGTTGTGACAATCAAAATGTCCCCTGGGAGAGGCAAAATTGCTGCTGGTTGAGAACAACTGCTTTCACCTAAAGAGCATTCTTGATATCTCAACCCTAATTCCTCATATTCATTTGATGCTCCTTCAAACCTGTGTTGAGACTTTGTCTCACAATCCAGCAAATATTTACAGAACTTCTAGGACACATCAAGGACTCTAGGAGAGAAACAGACAAGATAGATTCTGTCCCTACCCTTAAGCTGGTTTCTTGGGAGTGATAGATTCTGTCCCTACCCTTAAGCTGGTTTCTTGGGGGTACGTACATAAAGAATTGTAATAGGGACTTCCCTGGTGGTCCAGTGGTTAGGACTCTGTGCTTCCACTGCAGGGGGCGAGGGTTTAATCCCTGGTCAGGGAACTAAGATCCCACATGCCGCGCAGCAAGAATTGCAATAAAAGACACCCACTTATATAAAATTTTGAATTATCGATTTTTCTTCCTGGGTACTCTCATCTTACCAAACTAAAAACCCCTAGACTGCAAAGACCATAACCTGCCCTAGAATACCAATACTTGATTAATGGCCAATAAGAATAAAAAATAAACTATTCTGAACTTCATCATAACAAGGTGACAATTTCAGACAGACAGTAAAAACCCCGCACCTAACTTGAGCAAGTAAGTTAACTTCTCTCAGCTGTAGTTTGTTCTTCTGTAAAACGGGGAGGAAATGACTGTTGACAGGATTTAAGTCAGATAATACAAGGAAATCTTTTTCCACATTCTGGCACAGAGTAAGCATTCAATTAATGTAAGCTATCATTACTATTATTTTATTAGCTATTTTATTAGCAACAAATCTTACCTCAAGGGGAAGAGCTTGCTCTGAGCTACAATAACAAACCCCTACATGACATAAAAGAAATCAACACTCACGCTGCTTTCTGAGGGCAAGAAGAAGAAAGTAATCATAAGTATTTCCATCAACATCCTGGGAGGAAAATGTGAATGCAGGAACCAATTACAAGGTTTGGGGGTGGGGGGGGAGACACACTCAGAGACAAACCCACTATCCTCCAATACATTCCTGGAGTATTCTTAAGACCTTTCTGTTTAAAATGCTTGGGTATATTTGCCACAAGGATCTAAAGAGGAAGTAAAAAAAAAAAAAAAATCCTTAATTTATAAATATTAACACATGCAAGGGACAGATGTTTATGAGACTTCCTAAGTGTTCATTTGCTTAATCGTTCAGAAAGTATGCTTAAAATTTCTATTGCTATAATGTTAAATACATGCCAGCAATTCTGAATTTACTACAAAGCATAAGAGTTCATAAGAAGGAAAAAAGACAACAATTGTTAGATATTTTAAAGTAAGAGAATATAAAGTCACATGAAAAAGCTGGGTGACTCAAAGCTGTGTGTGTGTGTTTGACCCAAGCAGCATTAGGAAATGGGAGATATTTAGGATAGAAGTAAAAGACAGGGAAAGTCACCATACCGGGAGATACACATCCAGCAACACCTCCTCTGACAGCACGCGGAGTTTCGCTGAGCAAAAACAGACCTTATTCTCATAATGGATAACACCAGTTTACTGTGTACCGTGGCTTAGGCACCAAGTGCCTCATACATAGTGGTCCACGCAATCCTATAGTGCCCACATTTTATAGATGAGGAAACAAACACAGATTAGTGACTTGCCCAAGTAAATTAAAGATTCACACTCCAACCCAGGCATCATGGCACCACCTCTACCGCTATACTTCATGGTGTCTATTTTAATTTCAGAACTGGAAATTTAATTTTTACTTGCTACTTAGTGAGACCAGTACTCTCCCCCTACCTACCCTTCCGTATTTCAAATGAGCATCTTTTTAGTTGCATCCCGTGTGGTGACGATAAGGAGGCTCGGAAGGTAAGTGTAATCACTGGACACTTTTCGCCTTCTGACACTGACAATGAAGTAATCCACACGGAGGAACTAGCGTGGGTGGAAGTAAGACAGTCTCCGGAACAAGAGGAGGGTCCCGGAGAATGAGGGAGGTCGCCAAATTTCCTATTTCAGCCCCGATTTCCTGCCTTGGCTCTGGCCGCTATGTTCATTCAAAAGACCCCAGAGCCCACCTATTTCCAACTGCGCTTTTCATCTCGCCTACTCTGAGAGGCGGAGAGGATAGATGCGAGTTGAGGCGCGGGGGCCTATATGTAGGGAGGCTAGAGCAAACGGGATTCTGGACAGATGAAGGCGAGGCTGCCTATTCGGATGGGGGCAGAGAGGCGCGTGGAAAGGCTGGGACCTGGGACAGAGGTGAGGATCGGGGTGGGGAGCCAGAGCCAGGGGCAGCAAGGCCAGTGGGGTCGGGGTCGGCAGCCAAGGAGTGATGGGCAGGCGTGCTGAAGCTGAAGAGGCGCCAGGGTCAGAGATGCCCTGTCACTACCATCTGGGCTGCTCTGAGAAAGGAAGCGGGGCAGGAACCAAGGCATTTCGAAAGAGGAGTAGAAAATAATCTCGAGCGAAGACCAGGCCCGAAGGATGGCGGCGGCGGGGGCGGGAGTCGCGGCCCGGGGTAGCCAGGCCCGGGCAGGAGCGAAGGCAGGGGCTCCGCGCGCTAAAGGGCTGCCCAGGCCGGTCCGCTCCTCCGGGCAGCGCGGGGCAGAGCGCGGCCGAGCCTCGCACCGAGGTGCGGGGCCCCGAGGCCGGCGGCACCCACCCGCCGGCGCCCGGCCTTGCGTACCTGAGGCGGCCGCCTGGCTCCCCTCCACTCCCGGGCCGTCCCCGACGCCGCGCGCCGGCCCTCGGCGGG